TACTAGAGTCCCCTTTTCTCCACACCCTCGCCAACACTTGTTGTTTGATGATTTAAATTTTACCTTTTCTTTTGTTTTCTTTTTACTGAAAAACATTTTATTAATAACCTGCAGTTAAAGTATAATAAAATGAAATCAAAGGGTTTTATAGAGCTACAGTTCAATAATATTGCATGTGACAATTGTTTCCTGTTTCTTATTTGTTTATTTACATTCAATATTATTTAGTTTCAGGTGTACAGCATAGTAGTTAGAAAATCCTGTACTTTACAGAGTGTTTCCCCAATATTTCTAGTACCCACCTGGCACCATACATAGTTATTATAATGTTATTGACTATATTCCCTATGCTGTACTTTACATCCCTGTGACTATTTTGTAACTACCAATCTGTACTTCTTAACTCCTTCACATTTTTCACCTGGTCTTCCAACCCCCACCCCTCCTCTCTGGCAACCATTCAGTCTGTTTTCTGTATCTATGAGTTTGTTTCTGTTTTGTTTGTTCATTTATTTTGTTCTTTAGGTTTCACATATGAGTGCAATAATATGGTATTTGTCTTTCTCTGACTTATTTCACTTAACATACCTTCTAGCTCCATCCATGCTGTTGAAAATGGTAAGATTTCATTATTTTTTATGGCCGAGTACTATTTCGTTGCATGTGTGTACCCTAACCTTGCATTCACTCATTTACATGCCTATTGGCTTTGAATAGTCTCTTCCATAGAACCCCAGCATGAGAAAGTGAAGAAGACAGGACTACTCTGGAAGAAGAGAGGCTGGAATCTTTCCTGAAGCCCAGGTAGCCCCAATACACCTCCCTAAAACCAAGAAACACAATTTGAAACAGGATTTTAGTCCAATCTTCCATGTGAAGGTGGAGATCTGAGGCTTAGAGCAGAGGAAGTAACTTACCTAAGATGATGACCCTGTGTCAGATCTAGAAATCACTCTCAGGTGTACTGACCCTGGGCCTGGGTCCCTGCCAACTACTACAACTGCTTGCAAGGGAAGTGGGAAAAGGTAGCACACAGGCCATCAGACCTCAAGCTTCTTGATAATTTAAGTAGGGTACAAGGCTGGTTAAACAGCTGTAAGAGGCCAGTGGTGGGAAAGGCATTGGTGGAGGCAGGTAGTGGGGCAGGCAGAGAGACAAAAACAAGACAAGGGCAGACAGGCAGATAGGAAGGCAACACCTGCCTGTGTTGCACATGTGTTTTGTGAGGGGGATGGGTGTCCTCTAGATTTCAGCACAAACCTGAATGCAATTAACTGTGTTTGTTTGGTCCCCAGTGGACGCTCTGTGCTCACAATCACCTTTTGGGAAAATAATGATATGTTTTCTTTGGAGATGCTTAACTTGAAGGTAGGGAGAGCTTTTGCCCCTGTCCCTTTCTGTTAATAAAGCCACTCTTATTTTAATAAAGATTCAAGCCCTGCAGCAGACAGTTCACAGGAAAGGACGAGAGAAGATCAATACACATATAGAATATGGCTCAGGTTCATTCATAATTAGAGAAATATAAATTAAAGCAACAATGCAATAGCTATAATTTTTCACCCATCATAATGATGCTTTTTAGAAAATTTCATAATACAGTACCTTGATAAGGCTTTGAAGAACCCAGCACTTTTTTCTCTTTGGTGAGGTCCCATTTGGTGCAGCCTCTTCGGAGGGGACATTAATAATATCAATCAATATCGATCAAAATTATCAATACACATATCCTAGGATCTCACAATACCTTTTCTAGGCACCTGTTCTACAAAAACATGTACCCATGTGTGCAGAGGCATGGCCAGTAATGCTCACTGCAACATTGTTTGTAAAAGTGAAAAGCTGTAGACATCCAAAATGTCCATGAACAGGTCAATAAACAGGGGTGAAGCTGTGCAGTAAAATGCTGTGTTGTGTTTAAAAGATATGAGGTACATTTGTTCTGACATGGGAGATCTCCCAACGGACATAGTTCACTTAAACAAGTAAGTTGCAAAACAGCACGTATCTCAAATGTATGATCTCATTTGTGTAAAACACTGCAAACACACACACACACACACACACACACACACACACACACACACATCTAAACCAGATGTTCTCTAGATCCCACTCTCCCCTTCCCAGAAGCATCTGTCTAACATCTGAGGTGGGAAGAGCTTTGGGTATCCTAGCCCTCTCTGCTGGGAGCATTCCACTGGGGTCTAGGTCTCTGCAGCTCATCACTTACACTTGGCCATGGGTCATCCTCTTGGTCCCCATAAGTCTTGGCAAATCTCTCTGTACCCTGGATGCTGTAGCCCTTCAGGCCTCTGAGGCTGACATATTAGACAGTGGGGGATTTTCAGAGTGTTTGGAATGAGAGTTTTGGGCAATTTCAGAATAAATTATGATGAAAGGGAGTTTAGCATGCTACAGAAACATGTTAAGAGACAAATTCAAGCTTCTTCCTCTGTCTGCCCTTAAAGAAGCCACGTATCCTCTACACTAGTTCTCCTCTTATGACCATGCTCTTCTCCAACCCAAATCTCCCCCAGCAAAGAAGAGGCAAGAAAGAAAAAGCATGCAAAGTTTTTCTCTCACTGCCCAGCCATCCTTGGTGCCCAAGGTGAAATGTGGGGCGCATTGGGAGATTGGAAAGGAAGTCTCTCTACCCATTTTGCAATCAGAGGTGGGGAACGTCCTGCCCGCGGGCTATATAAGGCCCCCCAAATCAATACCAGATAACATCACATGTCTCGTCAAATTAGCCTGACCAAATTTAGCAGATTAATTTTTAAGTTTATAATTTTGTATGGCCTGCAAATGATGTTATAGATATCCAAACGGCCCTTGGCAGAAAAACCATTCCCCACCCTTGCTAGGCCGTGTGTTCCTTTGCCACCAGGGGGCAGTGCCTCTGCATGCACCTGGCCTAGTGCCCCAGTGCCCAGGAAGCCCCAACTGGTCAAGGCCAGTTGGCAGTCAGGGTAATCTGATCTGAGGTTAATAATGCAAAGTCCTGCCTGTGCTTGTCCTCACTATTTCAACTCTGCTGACTTGAGTGCTCTTCCAATTCAGCCACCCTATAGGGAGAGGATTGTTAACTTCATCATCCATTGGAGATACTGAGGCCCCAAGAAAGGAAAGACTTGCTGAAGCTCAAATATTGAGATCATGGTGAGAATGGGAAGAGCATAGGGTTGTCAGATAAAACACGGATACTCAGTTAAATGTGAATGTCAGATAAACCATGAATAATTTTAGTGTAAGTATGTCCCAAATGTTGCCTGGAGCATTTTACACTAAACAATTATATTTGTTTATTTGAGATTTAAAATCAGTTGACATCCTGTATTTTTATTTCCACAGTCTGGCAAGCCTGGTCCAGGAGAAACCCATGGTTACTGCTTCCCAAGCTCCTGAGTCCCACTGAGTACACTTCTCTGCCCCTAAAGTGCCTTCCAGAAAGCTCAGATTTCATGGCAGTTGCTCTGCTGGAGCTGAAAAGGGCTTCTTCAGGGGCCTCAGGAATGCAGGCAGGGCCTTTGTCAGCTCTGCTCCAGGACTTGTTTAGATAGGGTGGTGAGATCTTGGCTGCCTGTCCCCGTCCCTGGCCCCACCTGTCCAGCTCTGGGTCCAATCTCTCTGGAGTACAGATGAGAGGGGTGGGAGGGGGGATGGGAAGAGATTAATTAAATAATTTTTATGCATATATGCATAGCCCATGGACACAGACAATAGTGGGGTGAGGTGGGGGCTGGGTGGTGGGAGGAAGTGGGGGGAAATGGGGAACATCTGTAATACTGACAACAGTAAAACAAACAGATAGCCTCCTTTCCCCCAGGGGCTCTGGGGCTGTTCCTAAGAACTGAAAGATCCCAAGGGCTGACTCATACAATGTTTGGTGGTCTTATCAGCCAGGGTTCCTCAGAGAGAAGGAACCAATAAGATGGATGAATATATATGCATATATGTATGTGTATGTATATAGAGATTTATTTTAACAAATTGGCTCTTACCATTGTGGGGCTAAGCAAATCCAAAATTTGCATGGCAGGCTGGAATCTTGAGCAGGGGTTGCTGCTACAGTCTTGAGACAGGATTTCTTCTCTAGGTAACCTAAGTGTTTGCTCTTAAGGCCTTCCAACTGATTGGATAAGGCCCACTCACATTATCTAGGGTTAGTAGTCTTCTTTACTTAAAGTCCACTGATTGTAAATATTAACCACAGCTACAAAATACCTTCACAGCAACACCCAGATTAGTGTTTAATGGAATAACTGGGAACTGTAAGCTAGCCAAGTGGCCACATAAACTTCACAGTGGTCTAATCAGTAAGGAAGCTAAGGAAGAATTTGGATTTAGATCAGAGGGTGCAAGTCCTGGGAACCCTGGAGGCTCCAGTGTTGACAGGCAGGTCCCTCCTCTGCTGCCCTTCCCTCCTTTGGTTCTCACTCTTCCTGCACAGGTTGACTCAGGGCATCCAAAGACCATCTCCCCTGCCTAGGAACTCCAGAATGGGGGAGGCAGGATGTACTCTGCAAAGGATGCCTTCAGAGGATGCTTCTAACCACAGTTGGGCTTGCAGAAGCCATGACAGGCCTGGGGTCTAACCCTCCTTTGACCACTGACTGACTCTGGGATCTGGTACCAGTTCTTGCCTCTGTCTAGAAATTATGGAGGGTAGACCCTACCTGTACCCCAACAGGGTTAAATTAGGTGACCAGACAGCCAGGGAAGTTCTCACAGGCAAAAGTTCTGAGCCTTATCTCTTCTCCTATGTTGCTTACAGAGTAGCAGGGGAGAAGGCCACAAACCCAGCCAATAAGATACAGCAGGAACAGAAGGTGCTGGTCCAAGGTTTGAGTTAAAATGAGAGGCTGGCTCCACCCCCATGTCAGGATATATTTTCCATGAGTTTTGACCCCTCAAAGTGCTGATTTTCTGAGTGCTTCCTCTCTGCTTTGCTCCCTGTGCATCCTTGGCCATAGTTTACAAGTGAAAAACTAATTGTGATGGCAGGAGGTCCCCCTAGCATAAAGGAGGAGATAGAAATGTCCATGGCTGAAGACCTGGTTCCTGGAAACCATGGGAAAAGTCAAGAACACCTGGTGATAGCAGGTGAGGATCCTCTAAAATGTCCCAACCCTTGGGTGTCTGCATCTGTGCATATGTGATGGAAAAAGTGTGTGTGTGGCTGGGCAGACATTCTTATATGTGTGTATTTGCATTTGAGTGCATGTGTGGGTATGTGTGACTGTCTGTACCTTGGTGTGAATGTATTTATGGCTTAAGTGACAGAGAGCTGAGGTAAAGGAACTGATGTGAACATTTTGCAGTCCATGAGGGAGGAAGGTAGTATCAACATGTATGGTCCCTTTGCCTTTCCTTTGTCCAAACCACCACTGTGTCTATTGCAAAATATTCATAAGGCTTAATTTTATAAGATTAATCAGTCAGTTCTCTCTCTTAACCCTCTAATGCCTTCTCCTGCCCCTTAGAGTAAAATCTAAACTCTTTATTATGATCTAAACTTACCAAGATCTGATCAAGGTCACCTCCTTAACATATTTCATGCTGTGGCATGATGACCCACTTTACACTGAATTTATGCTTGTTTTTATAATGCCCTAAGACTGGTTCTTCCTCAAAGCCCGTGTGCTAGCTGTTTCCTCTGCCAGGAATGCTGCTCTCCTAGATTTTCCATGACTGCTTTTTTTCTTATTCAGGTCTCTGCCTCAATGTTGTTTTTGACTTTTCTAGAAGTATTCCCTTTCTTCTGTTATGTTGCCCTATTTTATCATTTTGGAAACTTATCTCTTGATTTGAATCTACAATGATAGCTTGTTTTCTGTTTTGCCCCTCTTACTCCCCTTGTATAAACACAGATAGCCAGTTTCTTGATTGCTATAATCTTGTCTCTTGATCATTGCTCTCTCCCCAGTAACTTAACATAGAGCATAGCCTTCAGTAAATACATGTTAATCTTTTGAACAGATGAACAAACTGAGATTAGCCAATGGATATCACTGAATGGGTTTTGAATGATTCCTAAGAAGTTTGGGGACCTAACCTCTTTCTGGTGTGTCCTATGCCCAGGAAGCCTTGATAAAGCCTTTATGGGTATTCCTGGGGCCTTTGTTCTTCTCCCCAGAAATAATAGAGCATGGACCCTGGTCCCTGGGTATCTCTCAGCGGCGACAGAAGTTGGATTCAAAGGCTGCTGGCTCTGCTGCAGGCCAACAAGTTTGGAATATGACTGCCACCCGGCCCAAGAAAGTGGTACTCTATGGGGCCCTTGGCACATGGTGGCTGGGTTGCAGTTGGTAGTACTGGCTATAGGAGTTCCAGCCTATGGTAGTTTGAGCAGGGCAAAATGTTGACTTAGGGGGAGGAGGAAGCAGGCAGAGGACAGGGACATCCAGCAAGAGGTCAGAGCCATCTTTTTGTTGGTTGGTAGTTCAACCTTGAGAGTCCAGAATGCCTGAAGCACATATTGCTTGGGGAATACATATATACTTCATTCTGCAAAACTGTAGTGTGTGTGAAATGACACTTTCTTTTATTAAAAATAAATAAGTATATATTGTTCTCTATATTCTAAATATATCTATATTCCTATATTATATATTATATATAGGTATATAAATATAAATATTTTACATACAAATGTATTTAAATAAAATATTATATGTCAGGGCTAGGACAATGGTAAGGCAAGTGAAGTGCCTATGCCTCCTGGCTGTTAGGAAATCCAGTCAGTGAAATCTGACCATTTTGTAGCCAATCCTTTAAGCTACATTCACCTTGGGTGAGGGAATATTGTAGAAAAAATAGTGTTCATATTGTTGAAAAGGATACTGGACAAAGGCAGCTTTTTTGAAGAGGAGAAGGACCTGTTTGTTCTAGGGAATCACTTGAGTCCAGTATTTCTGTAGTCAATTCTAACTACATTCACTGTGGGTGAGGACAAGTTTTAAAAAAATGGTTGTTACACTGTTGCAAAAGTTACTGGGGAAAGGCAACAAGGTTGGAGAGCAGGAAGACCTGACTTTTCTAGGGAATGGATTAAGATAAATGCTGAAATGATTCCATCCCCAATGAATAGAAAAAAAGCTCCCAGGTCAGAGACATCTGGGAATGAAAATAAGTCAGACATATTGAATTGGCATCCTGTGTCGAAAGGTCAAATCAATCTGCTCCAACAGGTCAGGCTCCATCCAGCAAACCAGTGATGCTCTTAAAATTGAGGGAGTGGTGGTAATAATATAAAGTCTGGATTAATGAAAATTACCTGTTAGGACCTGAGAGGTACACTTTAAAAAAATAGAGTCATTATATGGACCTTAGAAATAAATTTAGACATTTAAAATTAAGAAATTTATCAATAATATTTATTTATCCATTATTCTGGAGTTAAAAATATAACGGAACTGTTACTGCCTCTGACAGAAAGAACCACAACATGAAGTGACAAACAAAACAAAACAATAAAACTAATAATACTGTTCTGCTGATTTTTTGGGGAAAGTAATGTGCCTTTAAAAGTACATGAAAATAAAACTAACACTTTTAAAAGTAATTAACAGATGGAGGCTGGGACTTGCTGCAGTTCATAGATTTTCCTGCTCCCCGACAAATTTATATAAAGCTCTTATGTTTTACAATGTATATAATTCTAAATAGAAGGTTTCTAAAATTAAAATCCAAAAAGAATCAAGACAATTGTTTTTGAAGTTAGACCAATCTTATGATGGGTGATGAGAGTAAGTTCTCATTCAATTGCAGCTGTTGTTAAATTACTTATTACATTAATGGGCTAAAACAAACTATCTTACCATAAACAAACAAACAAGCAAACAAACAAACTGCAGCCACCAGTCACTCAGTTTGCCTTCAAATCTCTCAAAAACCTTTCTGTTCTTCTGATGTCAATCTTTAGGAAAATCAAGGAAGGGGATGGTGTGGAAATTGTTCTAGGAGACACTGTCAATCAATTTCCCCTTTATAGTCCTGGGGTATTCTTGACATCTGCTATCCTTTTAATTCTATTTCTTAACAAGAAGAGAAAAATAAAATAACGTGACTGTTAGGTACTGTTCACAAAAAATAGTCACACCAGTATCGGTGTACACTTTTGAGAAAGGCAAAGCTTGCATTATTGCAACAAATAGAGCATGGTGTCAGTTCCTATATAAAATCATTTATAAAGAAATTGTTCTGCCTTGCAGTTTAATGCTGTTCTTAAGAACAGAGGAGGCCTGCAGGTCTTTCTCATGTGACAGGCAAACCTGGGCTATTTTGGGTTTTTAAGAATGAGGCAAATAGAAGAGCCACCCCAGGACTCTGAATCAGGGTGAGGCCTGTCAGATGACAGGCTCTCCGTTAACAGGATGGGCAGGAGAGGAATTGGCTGTTATACTGGAGTATCCTCAAATGCCAGAATGAAGAGGTTTCTCCTTTGTGGCACTACCACCCTCGCTTTCCCATTGATTTAGTTGAGATTTGGGATTGGAGATAAATTCCTGACTGCCAGCCAGGTTGGGTAGGAGGGGCAGATAACTGTTCCATGTGTATACCTTCAGTTAATGCCCTGTTTTCTACCCTGGTCCTCTGGACAACTCCAGTGTCCCTGCAGCCTACAAGTTCGGGTCCTCTCTGGGCGCTGCCAGGTGGGGTTCCTCCTCAGCTGCTTCAGAGCTACACTGAGGCTTGCTTCACTCACCTTCGCCATCCTTATTAGTACTTTCTGAATTCTACAATATTGTTGAACTCTCATTCTCTGTTGCCTCTCTAATTATTCTCTTTCTTATGGGCTTATGCCATTTTACTCTTTTCTCCATCACTTTAACAGTGCCCTAAAGGGAACAATGTCAAGTATGAGAGGTATCACAGTGTAATGGTTAAGAGCACAACTTCTGGAACAAAATGTCTCAAGTTCAAATTATTGCTCTGCTACTTACCAGTTATGTGATGTGGGAAAGTTATTTGACCTCTCTGTGCCTCAGTTTTTCCATCTTTCAAAATGGGTGATAGTATTAAGTGTCTGAAAGGGTCATGATGAGAATCTAATGGCTTCATATTGGTAAGGGCTTAGAGGATGACATGGTCCCTGGCATGTCAAGTGTGTGTTAAACAAGGATCTTGTGAGATATTTCATCTTGCACTGGAAACCCATAGCCGAGGTTTGTACCTGGGTGGGTCATGTCATGTTCTGCTCCTTTAGCTCACACTAGTTCTTTAAGGCATGAGATACCTCTGGCCCCAGAGCTCTGGGCCAGAGACATCCACTCCAGAGAATCATTAGGAGATGGATAGAAATTAAAGACATGGGGATGGCTGGGCTCACCCAGAGAAAGAGAAGTAGGCTATGGTTTCCCAGTAACCAGGCTTCTATACTGAGTTCTGACACTTACCATGTGTCCATGGGAAGTGCAGTCAACTTTCCAGGAATCAATTTCCTTGGCTCTAAAATCGAGGTTTTTCTGTTCTTCTTCAGTGGTTGCTGATACTCAGCTGATGTCTACATGTGACAGTGCTGGTAGAGAACAGGGATCCTTATCACTGATTTTCCTTTGCTGCAGCCTAGATGGCCAGGAGATACTGAGGATCATGGCGTGGATAGGGTGGTGGCAGGCAGCCAATTTGTGAGGTTTCCAGACTCCCCAAATGGTCTGAAGCTTCAAGGCCCTGATTCTGGAAGCTCAGACACAATGTGACTCTTGGCGGGTATTCCCAGGCAAAGTGTGGGGCAAAGTATGGGACACCCACATTTCTCATCTGAGGCTGAGAAGGCTACTTTGACTGACCATTCCTTTACTTAGGGTACTCAGCTGCCGATATCTAGAATGTCAAGAGAACCAGGCCAAGGGGATATTCATACCCAGGAGTATTCTGGCAGCTTCCAAGGCATGAGATTCCATTATGAGAGGTAAGATGGATCCCAGAAACCCTGCAAGAGGAAAGGAGGAGCTTTTTGGGCAGGGACCAGGGTGGGCCAGAGGGTCTGGCAAGCAGACTGGCCGGGAAGGACTTGTGAACAGCTGGCCATGATTGTTGGAGACCTGTTGCCTCCTCACCACAGCCCCTGAGCCTCCTGGCTTTTTGCCCATTTGAGTCCTCTGAGTGCTCTGCAGCTGGGCTGGGCTGGGTCCAGCCCTCAGGTCCCAAGACATGCTTACCAAGAAAGGGAAGGACTAGAGGCTGACAGAATGACTGTTTAGAGAAGCCCCTGACCTTACCCGCTTGCCCTCATGGTCTTCCTGTGCTTTCTGCCAGGCATGGCCTGGGACAACCAGCAGCTCTGACCTACTGTTTTTTCTTATTTTCCAGCAACTCAGAGGCAGATATGATTGCAGAGATTGGCCTGGAAGAGCTAAATGGACTGGAGATGGAAGTCATGAGAAACCAGGTGAGTGTCTTCTGTGCTAAGGACTCACTTGCAGGGTGGAGGCAGAATCATGGTGGTTTGGGGGCAAGCGAGCCTCAACAGTGATAAATTCATCCCTCTTGATGTTGTATAGACCTTCCATTCATCTTACCCTCTAGCAACCAAAGTGAGGTCAGGCTCTCCTCTCCTCCCTCACAATCCCCATGGCTCCTGAATTCCATCTTGCTGCCAGCCTTAAGTCTACCTTAAGGGGAAGAGAAAAGGACAACAAAAGGGGAAACGTAAGAGGATGGTGGCATCTATGCAGAAATAGTGGCTGTGAGGTCTGAGATAGGGGTCTTCTTGGGTGGGTAGAGACTGCAGCAGCCACAGGCATGGATGTGAGCATGGAGGACTATTGGCCTAATGGCCCTCTCTGGCTCTTGAGTGTCACCCCATCTTGGATTCCTCACTCCAGTGCTGCTGTTTCCCCCATACCTGCCTTCTCCAGGATTAAAATGCTCTTCCCTCCTCACCCTGCACAGCTGGGAAAAACTGGCTTTATCCAGACAATTTGATGCATTCACAGGAGGGTGGAAAACAGCTGAGCCTACCAACACTGGCAGCCCAACCCACCCAGGCCCCTGGTCTCAGCTGCTTCTTACCCAGAGGCAGTTTGGCCTCCCAAAAGGCAGCAAAGCCCCTTCCAGTTCTAACTTCAACTAGTGGGCCTTGGGCTTCCCTAGAATAACCTTGCTTACCAGCTTGCTCTTGGTCTCTCTGTAGCTACGTGTGATCAATGATCGTCTGTGTACCCTGGAGGACCAGGAAGCCACCAGATGCCAGAGGGAAGTTATGTTCTTCACCATGCTGCTGTCGGTCTGCATTGCCAACCTGTGGCTGTGGGTGCGCCAGTGATGCGTCACCTACCATCCTACTGACAGAGCTCTCTCCTCCTTCCCCTTATTCCCTTCTTTCCCTGGGCCACACTTGCTCTACTTCCTTCTGTATCCCAGCAGCTCCCCATAGCAGCAGGGTCACTTTCCAAGTATGGTTGGATGTCCTGCTGAAGGAGGCCTTAGCTGCTGGGAGGTGCAGGAAGATCTAAATGAGCTGAGAAGTAGCCCTTTGGAGAGTGAAGAGAGGGGCATATGGTTCACACAGTAACATCAGTGGCAGGTGCTTCCTGCCTGTCCATCAGGACTCTACGGTGACCATCTTGTGCCTTCTGTTCCATCCTATGTGGCAGGGGCTTGGCTGTGTTTTTATGTTTTCTTCCATGTTGTGCACAGGGCTCTGCACAGAGAAAATGATCAATAAAAGTTCAGTGATAGTGGCAAACCCTGGAGGCTCAGTTTCTTGAATCCAGGACTCATGTGGGGCTCTAATTCCCCCTCCCTTCCCCCTGCCTCTGTTTTCAGACCAGGAAGGGGCCCCCTCAGGGGCAGGACTTGCAGGTCCTTCCTGTTGGGCTCAGGCCAGCAAATGCCTGTGGTGAAGTGCTTCTGCAGCAGCTTGTCCGGAACAAGTGTTGCAGAGACTCAATCAGAGCAAGTCTCCTGGAAGGGACCAGAAACCTTTTCATTTGCCCAGGAGAAAATTGAGTACCAGAGAGGGGAACATGGCCCCAGGATTGTTCAAAAAGACGAGGACAAGGCTGGGTTTAGGATGTGTTCTCCTGAGTCCCATCTACAAACTTGCTGGGATGAGTCCCAAAACATCTCTGGAGGATGGATGAGAGGCCACATGGAGGGGCTTTAAACTTCATTCATCCTTGGACTCAGCCCTGTTAAGCTCCCCTCATCCAGGGTGAATTGCTGAGTAGGTTAGTGGGACTAAGCCTGAGCAGGCAAGAGTGTCACTGCTTGGGGCTCAACCACAGGGCAGGTGTGCTGGGTTGTACAAGGCCTTTGGAAAAGCTGATATCCCTTTTCCTGGGACAAAGAAATACATATATGTCTCTTGGGGGCAGGAATCCAGAACATTCTCATTGTCTTTAGTGGCTAACCAGACCATCCCCAACTTACCAAATTTGTTATGAGTTTTCCATTATAAAGAAGAGAATGTGTTAGTCATGAGATGTAAAATAAACATGACTTTGTGAGAGAGAGAGAGAGAGAGAGAGAGAAAAGAGAGAGCACAGAAGAGAGAGAGGAGGTGTGAGGGAGGGAGAGAGAGGGAGAAGGAGAGACTTGAGTCTTCAAGTTTGCTCTATCCCTACCCCACCCTTCTCTGGTCTTCTGTAGCCCCCATAAAATGAGGGGGTTCCTCTACTCTTGACCCTGGGGGGCTTGCAATACTTCTAAGAACCAAGAGGTCTGGGTAGAACCTGGATCCTCCCTGCCCCATCTTAATGGGCCCTGGAGACCTTGAAATCACTGGAGAACTAAGAGGAAGACTGGGGTTCCTCCTTGCAGCCCATACCTCCACTCCCCACAGCCTCAGGACAGACCCGAGGTGTGGGGACTAATTAAAAAGAGCAGCCCACTGCTCAGGTTTAGTGAAGAGCAGCATACAGAGCTTCCTGCCACCAGCCCCAAATCCCCACTGCCTTTGTTGACATGGAAGGTAAGCGAAGCAGAGTGGAGTTGACTGGAGCTAGGGATGCCAGGAGGTCTGCCCTTGAGTGGCCCTTCTCAAGCTTCCCCATTCTTCTGTTTCAGCTGGGTCATGCAGGAAAGCTAAGAGGAAGAGAAGGTTATTGTGGGGTCGAGCATGGCCTGCCTTTGGGACACGGGTGTGCGTTTTTGTGTACATGAACATGTTTGCAGAAAAGTCTGGTTGAAAATATGTTGTGAAACAAAGATTCACTCTTGGGAGCAATTTAGCTGAGATGCAAACAAACAGTGTGATGGTCCCTTGGAGAAATGCCTCCTGGGCTGGGAGATCTAAGGTGGAGCCTTTGCCTGAGCCCTGGGTATTCCTTACTCACCATGATGTGTGACTGGCTGTTCCTAACCCTGCCTGTCTGCACCTTTTCCAGGGTCCTCCAGAAGGAAACCAGAACCAGAGTTGCTCCATGCTGGCCTTCACCACAGCTTGGAACACAGGCACTAGACCCCTCTACAAGGTTCTGTGAGGGGTCCTATTGTGGGGGTTGGCACCTCCTGCCAGACTCTATGGATATTATCTGTCTGTACTATCTGTCCCCTTGATGTTATTTCCCTGCCAAGCTCCCTTGACCTTGCCCAAGCTCTCTAGCATAAGGCCAACCCTCTCACAACAAGCCTAGAACTTTCCCATGAACAAGTAGAGGGGAGGCTGGGACTCATTTATAGTTGGGGAGTGTGGGAAGGGGTTCTTCTGCAGCATGTTTTTTATTGCTCCTCCGTAAAAATCCCCATGGGTTGCCCAGGCTTGGTATTAGAGGGGTATATAGTTAGCTCCCCACCCCCAATGGATCAGGAGTTGCTTAAAGGCAGGGCTACCTTCTATTGCTTTCTAAATCCATGGCACCCAGCAGAAGTAAATGGCTGATCAGAAGGACTCTGACCAGGGTCCCCAGAGAGCAGTTCTGGCCTGATTGTCTCCTGAATGGAGGGCTGGCTTTGCCTAGGTCATACAAGTCTGGCCTTTTGGGCATACCCTCTATAAAAAAGCCTTCTTCATAAAAGTCAATCAATTCTGACCACTTCTTCCTCTGGCATGTACTATGTGCCAGCATATTGCATTAAAAAATTAGATCATACAAATCCTACTTGATGATATCCTCTTGAAAAATGCAAACATTATAGGTGTAGCTAAAAACGCACTTTGCCCTCCAATGCCAAGCCATTCCAGAGCTAACTCCTGTGGCTGGCTTGATGTGCATCCTTGCAAACTCTTCCTGTCACATGCAGATATGTGCACCTGTATGTTCCCTGGACTTTGTGCACAGGATCTCATGTAAGTGCCTCACACAGTCCTCTGGGAGAGGGGACAGTCCCCTAAGTCATGTGTGCAGGTGGGAAAAGCTGTAAGCCTGTGGTTGTGCTACCCTGCCTGGCAGGCCCCAGATCCCTGCTAGCCCCAGTAGAAGCTGAAATTCAATATTCCAGGTTTTCTGTTTCAGGTTAGAAGAAGGTGGGCATGTGGGTGGGGTAGAGGAAGGTGCATAGAGGGGGGCTGTGTTGTACCTGGGAGCAGCCTAAGATCCTGGCTTCTTTAAAAGAAGCAAATGACTCACCATCCAAGGACTCTTGCCTACTTTCCTTTCCCCAGCCCAGCCCTTCTTGGAGGCCAAGCCCAGGGAGCCCTGGAGGGGAAGAAGTGGATTTCCCCTCAGCCTTGTCCCACTCCAGGTATCTCTTCCCTTTCTCAGCTTTCTCACTGGCTTGTCCTGGGCCAAGTAGGCTGGTCAGGACTGTTACTAAGCTGGAAGGCAGGTGCATGAGGGTAGTGAGCTGGTGGTTTTGAATTCCCAGATGCAAAGCCCTGAGTGATGCATGCTTCATGTAAGAGAGAGCTCCTCAGGGAGCTTGGGAGGGGCTGGCTTCTGGGTCTGGGCAGACAAGCAGCTTCTACAGCTGGGCAGCCCAGCATCCAGCACTCATCTGCTGACAGCCTAGGGTGTGAAGGCCCCACAGTGAGAGGGTCAGCCATCCAGCCAGCAGGCAGGACAGTTTCTCCAGTGGGCCGGTGTCACCCTAGGCCAGGGCATTCAGCTTGCCTCAGCCGTGGGCATGAACTCCTCTGGGCCACTGCCAGCCTCCGCTGCTGGCATTGGGCAAGGAGGGGCAGCTCTCTGACCAGGAGGCTGCCAGCTGCATGGGAGTTCAAAGAACCTGCTGGCTTAGGGACAGGAGTGCCAGGTGGTCTCTGCTGGATTCAGGTGCTAATGAGTCCCCAAGGGCTCATCTCTGATTGGAGGCTTCACAGACAGACCAACAGATGCTGACTGTAGCCAGGGATATCCTGCCTCTGAAGCCGTCTGATTGGTGAGGAAAGGGGCTGGCATTGGGCTGAGACAGGTACTAATCAAGGCTGACACCTCTTGGCCACAGGCCAATGGCGTCCATGGGTTTGGGGCTGGAGCTCATAAAAATGTGCAGGTTCTAGCACCAGGCCACGGACCCTCGCATGTCTGGTCTGCATAGATTGCTGAGGGAAAGTAGCTGTGTGGAGAACCTTTGTCCCCTGTCAAAGAAGCCAAATGAAATCCTGGGGGATCTAGGAGTATGGAAGCACTGAGTGTTATGCTAGGCTTGTCCCAAGGCAGCTGAGTCTTTGTTTACTCCTAAGAGGGCAGCAGAGAGGGTGGCTGGGGAAGGCTTGGAGTGGAGGGGTCGCCTGGCTAGGCAAGGTTTGGTGGGAAAGAAAAAAAACCCCGTGGGCTTCAACACTTGTGCCAGCCTCAATTGCCTGCCTGCCTAGGACATTTTCAGGCATCCCAGCCTCAGAGCATGGTGAGTGTTCCACTTGGAGTTCCATGACTCTCTGCATATGAGGAGTAATGGAGGTAGAGGTGAGGGGTTATGTGTGCTTCTCCCAGAATGCCTGCTTGAATTGTGGCCTTTATTTTCAGTCCTTTGAGCTGCACCCTGGCCTCCTAAAAGAGCCTTCAGGAAAAGAACCCACTCTGGGCCTCTTAGGCTTTGGGGGCTTGTCCCCTCTGCAATTAGCTTCTGGCTGAAAGAAGATTCCAGCACCAGGCAGCAAGTCTGGGACAGGGACAGGCTCTAAATTTTGGCTCTGCAGCTGAGCTTGCCCTTCATCTCCACTTGAGCCCAGACCATCAAGTATTGACTCTATCCATGTCCGTCAGAGGCCATAGGAGGCAGTCAGTGCTGGGGTAGCCTGTTTTCTAGGCCTCCTGCCAATGTCTGGGTCCTGCTCTTGGAAGATCATGGGCAAAACCCTTAGCATCATTTGTCAAATGGAGGCTTCCAGGGTGGTGGCTGCCTTCCCCAGAAGGAGAGACACTGAGTGCTTGGATTGGG